CACTTTAGGTAAAAATACATAACTTTAAGGTACCAATGTAGAGCCTTTAGGTACAAAGGTGCAACTTTTGAAAAGGTACCACCTCATTGACAGCTTTCTTTTTTTCTGAGAAGTCCAGTCCAGTTATACAACAGTTAAACAATTAAACACAGGATAACTTAAAAAAGATGCTCTGTTCAAAAGTGAGGCAAATTACACTGTGAACAATTTTTTTTTAAGTTTTAAATGAAACAAAGATTATTGCAAGACAACTTTTTTTCAGTCTTTCTACTTTAAAATGTCATGTTTGATTCAATGTTACTTGCAGTTTCTTTCAGTTTATTTGTTCAATTTATTAGCAATTGGGAAATTGGAAAGCAAATTCTACACCAAATTTTTTTTTCAGTGTACTCTTAAAAATTAAACATGTTAATGTATTTTTAATTGCATATCACATTATTTTACCAAAGCTAAAAATTATGGTAGTAATGAATTTCATTAGTTTCAAGCTATTAGCTTAGCATAGCATTAAGTGATTATAAAAAGCTCTTTTAACTATAGCTTCTTAACATGCATGCTGATTTGTTTTTCACATTGAACACAAAAAGTGATTAAAGCATCTTCACACAGGCAGAGAAGTAGGGCTGCACGATAAATCAAAATGGAATCGAGATCGCGATTCGTCAGAAGCTGTGATTGTCATGCGTATCTTTCAGTGAAGCACGGTTCTGTGATCAGTAGTAAATCTCCATCCAAAGGCCAGAGGGTGCTTTCGCGCTGAAACTTCAAATATGCCCTGAAAAAGTAATACAGGAAATGCCTATCGCTGCAGCTGAATAAACAGAAGATTCAACTGCTTTCATTGATTCAACGTGACTAATAAACACACAACTACGGCAATATACGGTTTATTGGAGTTCTTATTATTATAATTTTCATTAAAATAACGTATATATTTATAATGCAATGCCTTTATCACTGCTTAAATACTATGAAATATGTTGCGTGCCTTATTCTGTGTAAGAAGCCACATCATCTGACAGAAGGATTTATTTCAAACACTCGACTGACGTTATGAAGTGAGTTTGGAGTAAAAATATGTTATTAAATGTGGTATTTTCACATGCTTTCAGATGAAGCAGCATTGACTTCACAGAGCCGTAGTTGACTGAGAAGCTATGCAAACAGCTGTCATTATCGTGAACGATTTCTTCGATTTCAGAATCGCGCAATAAAATGCGATTTTTTTTGCGTAACTTGTCAGTGAACTACGGCTCTGTGTAGTCAATTCTGCTCCATCTGAAAGCACGTGATGATGATTTCTTGCTGATTACAGAACCGGCATTACTAACAAATTGCGCATGACAATCGCATTCGATTAATCGTGCAGCCCTACAGAGAAGTGCACAAAAGGTGATTTCAAGTCACAACCTATTCAAATTTTCGTCACAAAACACCAAGCTGAACACAATCTCTTAAACCGCTATCTCAGCCAAGTCATAGCACACTCTGATCATATTTTCCCCTCAGTTGCAGTTCCAGTTTCACACCTGCTTAAGCAATCTGCAAAGGCTAGAAACACAGACGCTCCAACATGAGGTATGCTGCTAGTTCAGACCTAGTAGCTCATCTCCAATGACAAACACAGCTATCTCACAAAAAAATGTGGTTTTACATTTGCTTGCAACTTAAATGTGTATCTGCTCTACTAGTGTTGCGAAACAGAATTGCAAAAATAATGACTGTTGTCAAGGTTTCTTGAACGATCAGCCTACAAACTGTTTATTCATTGTGTCACTACAAATGCGCACAAGTACAAAGATCAGTAGCAACTATACACAAGTGTTTCAGACAGGGACCTCTTTTTTTTAAATTGTTAAATAAACAAGAAGCTATTATGTAATTTACATTTTAGACACAGAATTGCCAATTACGTTCAATGAAAATAGTTCCAAACAAAGCCAAACTAGAAATAGCGGCTTCTTTGAACCACACATCAGTGCTGGTGTTTAGTTTTGGAATGAATGAATGAATGAATTGTTGAATGATTGATTCTTTGATTCACTCATAAAGACAGTAATTTTTCACCACCACATGTAACAATGTAACCTGCAGAAAGAGACACTAAAAGGTTCAAGGATGTTATGAACAAATTAATGGGGGAAAAACTCCACCTATGTGTTATTCTGTGACAAAAAGACATTCATTTCAACAACAAGATGATCACACTTCTTAAAAATCGCAAAGATGACACACACAGTCATAATCTGAAAATCAAATGTTCTGCTCTTGATCAGAGTTATTCAGCTTAATTTTTCCATCCACTCAATGTCAAACACATGTCCTCGAATGAACACTAATTTGGATTCCTTATGACATGCTGGACTTCTGGCCAGAGATCCTTAAATCCATGCCATATCTCACAGGGCTGGCTAAGCCTGGATACTTCCTTGGCCAAGAGTGACAAGATATGTTTCCCAATTCACAAACAGTCCTTGCAAAGAACTTTGGTAAAACAACATGAACGTGCATATAACGTGCACATATAAAATGATATCTGAATAGTTTAGAGAATTTTTTAAAAAACTTAACATCTGAGAATATGTTAACCACATTGACATGAATTCAGACAAAAGTCAAATATAGGCTAAAGGTATACGTTAAAGAAGAAAAGTTGACCTGTGTTCTCAAGACAAGGGGATTTTCTTAAATGTCAAGTCGGGGTAAGTTGTCACATATTTCTTAAACCAAGTTGTGAATTGTTTTGTGATATATTTATTCAGTTTATTAGTTGCCTTACTATTAACAATGGTTTCATAATGTTGTTCTTTACTTTTTTCAATTTTTGGTTTTCCAAGTTCCACGATCATTTTCAATTAAACAATTAAAATGTGGCTGAAAAAAAATATGACAGTTTCCAGTGTGTGAAAACTTGCCCTGTTATTGGGGCTATTTTTCCTGGACAATATCAGTGGAAATGTTCAGTTGCAGCTAAGTTTTTAACATGAAACTTTCAAAAATTAACACCCTGAGAGAAAAGTACTCTCTACAAACTAACCCTGGTGTGCTTTATATACTCTACAGTATTATTTATATATATATATAAAGAGAGAGAGAGAGAAAGAGAGAGACTATATTGTAACCTTCACTTAGAAGAGAAGGTTACTATATAGTTTATTTATTCTCTCTTAAGTGTGTCAATTTGCTGAAATCACGCTTGCCAGTCCAATGCTGTGATTGTCTCATGCCATTATCACGGAAGTCATCAGAATTCATTCCCTGGGCTGTGTAATATGAATATATTTTGAATATATTTCTTGTGTGGCTGCCTGGTGTGTAGGTTGTAACCTTACCCTCTCTTCCAAAACACACACATATACAAACAAACACAACTTAAATGTTATTCAGCATAAGCATCTGCAAATACTCTCTCCATCTAGAGGAAAGGTTACAACATAAACTAAAAAGCCACAAAAGTAATTTCCAAAGACCACATACAGGTGTTTGAGGGACCTGGGGGTAATAATCCTTCCTTACTAATGCTATATTTCTTCGATTTAGCCTACATGCAATGCATATACACAAATATGCATTCATTTATATTTTGTTTTACAGAAACGCCAATATACCCAAAATTGCAGTTTATGTTTGAGGTAAAAACAAAGCAAAAACCACAAGAAGTTCATTTCACATCGCTAAAAACCTATTAGCAAAACTTTTGACAGTTCAAGGTTTTCATCATAATCACACAATGCATGAAAAGCAACTCTCTTTACTGAAACATCTGTGCAATTATTTGACATAGTTTCCAACATTATGAGCAATCGTACAGTGGATGGAAGAATTGAGAGATGAGCTGCTAAGCAATTGCTGAAAATGAGCCCATTAACTATGGCAGATTTACCTCTCAGGCTGTATATTTTGCAGGCTCATCAACTCTCTGACTAACACTGGGGCTAGCAGGGAAGAGGAAGAAATAGGATCAGAATTTCGAAAGATTCCTGTGCGGTACAACATCTCTAACCTGAAGCGAAAATTTTGCATGCTGTTCTTATTAGACAACATTCCTTCAGCTCACATCAAAGACAGACTCTGCAGATATTGTCTCGCAATCGGGCATGCAGAATTACACAGGATTGCTGCGTTGCTTCATACAGCAAAGAGAAATGTGAACAGAATACTTCAAGCTTTAGTAAACTTTGCTTAGTATGTGGTTTACATTACTGTAATTCCACTGAGGTGTATCTTATGTGGATGTTTATAGTATACTACTGCTCTTTTATAGCTCAGGAGAATTAAGTTGCTTTTTGTTGCAAGTATAAATTTGGCCTCAATGTGTCCTTTTCTTTTCCTGTGGGGAATAAAAATGGTTCATTTAAAAGCAATCAACCACAACTAGTATTTTCCTTAAAAGTCACAGCATGTCACCATGTTTATAAGCCATTCGCACTGGAATCAACAGCTTTCCATATATGATCAAATGTGCCAAATATGTATAGTAGTTTAATTGTAAATATATTGGCTGCAATGCTCTTTTGTTCAAAAACTCTGTATTGAAAAGTCATCAGCATCTTTTCGTGATTTATGGGCAAATAAAACCCACTGACATGCCGTCATTTGAAAGTGAAATGAAAGGCTCTTGACAAACATTATTTGACTGAGCAGTAAATCAAATAATTTGCCAATTTCCTGCTTAGCATCATTCGTACGGATTCGACACACACAGTGTGAGTATTCTTTGTGGCCAAATGTAAATAAGCCAAATTTAAGTGGCTAAACAGTTCCTTCTCTCACAGAAAACAAAAACTGTCACTGGGGTGGTACTTTCAAAAGATACTAATAAGTACACATTTGGTATTAACACGCACCCTTTAAGGGTAAATTATGTACAAATGTGTACCTTTCGAAATGGTATCACACAAGCGACAGTTGTGGTACCTTTTTTTTCTGAGAGTGTATCATTGGACTGCCAACACAAATCATAACAAGAATGGACTGTATCCACCAGGGTTTTTGCTTGCCTCAAAAACTTCCTCGTCCAGGATTCTGGTCCCGAAGACTGTGATGCCATCGGTGTTAATGATTGCGTGGTCACTTCTGCTTAGTGGTTTAGAAATCTTCTTCTTACAGTCCACAATCATTGTGATGGTCTTCTTTTCGATGCTAATAGCCACACGGTGCCACCTATCAGTTGGGAGGAAATTGAGTGGGAAAGACAACAAAGAAGAACCATGAAGTTTGTGATTGCTCAGGTTGTAGAATGATATATGTTTACTTTCCCTTGCATAACCAAAACGCATGTTCGGTTCTTTATACAGTGAGAAAAACGTCTGCCCGCCATTGAGGGAGGTTTGTATTAGTACAGGATGTTCCTAAATAAAATCATTTAAACGGAAAAGACAAACAGCATTCTCTCCATGTGCATTTAAAAAGGCATTTTACTAAGCATCGCCTCTCATATTGACTTAATTATAAATATTTCACAAGCTGGTTTTTGTTTAATACCATGTTTTCTCAAATTAAAAAAAAAGGTTTACATTACATGAATTGTGAGAATACACCATTGTTTCATTACATATAAACCTCAATGTGGCTAATCAAAAGCACAGAAACTTACAGCCATTCTCGTTTCTTTTAAAGTAAATGTTTGCTTTGCTAAATTAGTTACACATGACTGCGTATTCACAGTTTTCCTACTTTAATTATATCTATATAGATAAATAATTGAGTAAGCTGATGGGAAATAGTACCAATAATAAACACAGTGGACTAAACTAGCAACTAGGAAAAATTCATAAGCAAATTGCATAACCAATTCAAACACATTCAACGGCCAGTTGATTAAAACTGTACTACAGCTTGTTCGAAACACAAAAAAGATGGTATGGCCCATTAAAAAAAAAAAAGATTACTTCTGAAATTGATGTATTATACTGTACTACTCTGAAGAAAAAAGTTTCAACTGTTTAGACCAAAAACCTTCACACAAATCAAAAATATACAAATAAAGAGTCAACTTGCTTTCCATCTGCAAGGTTAATGGCACGGAAAAGGGGGTAATCCTCAGGAGCGGGCTTCCCATGCTGATCCTCATACAGGAAGACCGGCGCACGGCCCACCTCCACTCCCAGCTGCTGGATGCCCTGCTCGTTGTATACAGACAAAAGGAAGGACTGTACTCCTGCCTTTGGTTTGATAGTCATAAGGATGGAGAAGTCCTGAGGGAATACTCCTCCTGAAGAAACAGGAAAGGCATTGTAGGTTAAACATCATCTGTTATTGATTATTTATACTCGTGTCTTCCTTTCCATGGCATTGATGAGCTAAGACTATATTATATCAGACAGTGTACTGTGATCTAAACGGGCCTTGTAATATGCAGTGGCCCTTTTACAGCAACCCATTCTCCACATCGTTTGAAGGGGATGGTTTAATGAAGTATGAAACAGTTTGTCTTTTCTGTTGGCACATTAACTTTACAAGGTGTCAGATGACATAATAGATTTACAATTAAATGGGTTGCATGAGCACTGGAGTGAAACTAAATCTCAAACTATTTATCTCTGAAGTGCTGTACACTTTGCCAGCCTTGAGGGAGATTTTTTTTTTTATGCCAACATACTATTTTGCTGAAATTTCCAGTCCTAAAATCATAAGGTTTGGAGGCGATTTTATTTTAGCCAAAAATCACAGAAAATGAATTGTTAATTGAATCTCCTGCTATTTTGTGCCTCTGTTACCCTTTGCAGTCTGGCCAATTTGGAAGATACCCAACACACACAGAACCGAAGGTCTGAGTTAATGTTACTAAACTAGTAGATGTAAATGATGTTGATGTTATAGGCTGAGCAAATAATTATTTCAACATCCCATTCGTAAAAACTATACTCAAAACTGTGTTAACCATGTATGAGATGTATGACACACTGATTTTGTGAATGATTAGCATTACTATGTCAAATGGTCTTCAGTTTAATTAGTATGTAACAGTTCACCATCTGTGATATGCTACAAACAACATAACAGCTTATGTTACAGAACTAATAGCAGCAACAGTTAACAGCAGTTTGGATCTGTTCAGCTAGTCATGGATGAATTAGCAAGAAACACTCTGGTGAAAAGTTACCAACCCAGGCGTATTAGGAAATTGTCCTGGTGGCGACGTTTCTGCAAAGTGACATTGTTTTTTGCATGCTGCCACAGTGAAATATCCAATAAGTGGTGCTAAATGTGCGTTCAGTTTTATTTGAAACAGATTAATGTGAATCTGGCTACATTTTATTAAGTTGGTTGCTGTCAGTATTGTGGTAGTTTGGAAATGAAATATCCAGTGAGTGGAGCTAAAAGGTTAAAGCTCTTTGAGCTCTTTTAGGTTTCACAGGACTTGTACCTGAATGCTCCACATCACAGGTCAACACTGTACAAGGTGAGCTACCAAGCAAGTTTACTACTTCAGAAAAGCCATACATATGGAGTTGGTTATGCAATGCAATTGTCAAAATATATTAGTTTACAAATCATGCACTATGGTAAAAGTGTTCTAGGGTCACAACAGTTTTGTGCAAGGAACTGTGCAAAAAAAGACTAAAAGTTGGTGTTTTACTGTCACTTGTGTTTATGTCAGCTGGAACTGCAGCCCTTACGAAAATTAACCATGGATTTATTATAATAAAAGTGTAGTACAGTTTTTTTTGGCGTATTGACTACCATTACAGTTTTTCTGAATTGCTAAAACACTAAACCCCAATCTCTGAACCTAATTCTCACTAGCTTAAACAAATTTGTCGAATAAAGCACTCTTTCTGCTAAACCTTAAACACGTTCAGACACTTAGGCTCTATTTGCAAATCTCATGCACACTTTTTGCAAAACTCTAAACACATTCTCATTCACTCAAACACTTATCACACTGTGATGCAATTGTGCTGCAAAATGCTAAACACAATCGGCAAAAGTTAAACACAACTAAAGCACAGTTGTCATCGTTTACACACAACGATTCAAAATTGTTCACACTTGTTTCTAATGATGTGATCAAACCAACTGTACATAATATGAGCCAGTTCAGAGTGCACAAGTGGCACAGGTGACTGAATGATGATACGAACAATAGATGGAAACAATCTGAGAAGGAGAGGAGGAAGAGTACATGTAAGAAGTGAAGAATGAGGGGGAAGAGTAAGGTTTAGAGAATGTTATCAAGGCTGGATCTGTCAGACCAGAGGGTTTTTTTTCTCTTTGTCTAGCAAAAAAGACAACATTACTTGTGATGTGGACAAAGTCTTCAGGCACAAAGACATGATGCTGAGACAGAATGAATCTCTCATTGACCCTGATTTTACAATTGCACAACTTACAGTATTTGAGTGTACTGTAACATGCTATTCATTTAGAGTTGTATTTGACCTTTTTGGCCTTTGCAGTTGGACTGCAGTATCTTTGCAGTATCCAAGTGCTGAATATATAGAAACATTCAGTACTATTCAATATTCAGCACAATACTATTCTTGCAGTACATACTGTACAGTAGGCCTATACAATATATTCACCTTACTAAGTTGCAATTACTATACTTTTTTTATAGAATTGCCAAATTGTTTACTCAATACAATATATATTTTCTGTAATGTTCTGGATGCTGTGTTCTCCATTTTTCTCTGTAGTGTCTAATCAATGCTCTTTAGTGTTTATTTTATCGACTCATGTGTGTGTGATCTGAGAGCACGGTTTGATTTTGAGTGCAAGTGAAATGGTTTTGCAGTGATTGTTTGATTTTGATGGAGGAGTCAGAGGTTTCGTGAATTTAGTTTGAGTATTTGGATTTGTGTTTAAGGTATTGAGAAAATGAGTGATGGTTTCAAGAAACGTGTTTTAGCAATTCAGAAAAACTGTAATAACTGCAGTTTTACTACAAATACCATGGTTAGTATGGTTAGTGTATCAAAACCATGGTTAATTTGTGGTTACCATGGTTTAACTATAGTAACCATGATCAAAACCATGGTTAATTTGTGGTTACCATGGTTTAACTATAGTAACCATGGTTTTTTGGTTCCTCTTCAGGAACTCGAGCTGCGTCGGAAAACGCTAGGGGAACGCCTTCTGTGACCACGCTCTGAATCACATGTGAAATCAGTCCAATAGCTGAGCGGGATGTCACGGGCGGGTGACGTCACGACCAGGAAGCTATAAAAGCACGTGCGGCGGAGCCAGCGTCAGCTTTCTGTCATTCAGTGAAGCGCTCTGTGTGTGTCAGTCATATTTATTGTTGTCTGTCTATTGTGAGAGAAAGTTCTATAAGCAGCTATGTCTAAAGCTCACACTAAGACAAAGCATGCAAAGGGCGAGCCTCCCACTGCGTACGCTTAGCTCCCGGAGGGCTCTCTTTGAGGAGGGAGCCTTCGCCAGCGTTCCTCGCGGTGCTGGCCCCGCTTCCGTCGATTCGGAGCGGCGGCTGCATTCGTGGGGTTCGCAGTTGGATCTGGCGGAGGGAATGGAGATGGGCGAATCTCTATCTCCTTCCTCACCCACCAGATTCAGTGCCTGATCTCTGGGTTCGGAAGCCCGTTCTGCGGCTACTTCCTCCGGGGCTGACGGCTCGACGCTCCTCCTGTCTTCCTCCGAGGAGGTTGACATGGAGGACATCGAAGAGGTTTCGCCCCCTTAATCGCCCCATTATGAGGAGCTAGTGGAGATTAAAAATCGATTGGAACTTAAAGAGCTGGATGAGGGCGAGGAGCTTAGCTCTGATACTATTGCAGAGTTAAGGAGAACCACTGATCTCTCTCTCCGTGCCACCAAAGAGACCGCCAGCGCCATTGGGCGGTCCATGGCAGCTATGGTGGCAGCAAAGAGGCATTTGTGGTTGACCCTGTCTGATATGAAAGATAAAGACAGGGTCTTCCTCCTCGACGCCCCGCTTGCGCCTGCTGGCCTGTTCAGCGATGCTGTCAATTCAGTCGTCGACAGGGACCAGGAGGCTCGTAAACAAGAGGCGGCGTTTCAGCGGTTCCTCCCTCGCCGTATTTCAGCTCCGGGGGCTACTGGGCGGCAGCAATCCCCACCGCGTACCAGCTCCTCACATAGGGAGATGCAAAATCAGAGCGTTGCTGCCCGTGTTCCCCCGCGTCGGGACCGGAGGCAGAAGCAGCACTCTGGGTTGGGGGCCTCGAAGCCTAAGCCGGATCTGCGGACCATCCTTCAGGCTAAGAGGTCCTCGACCAAAAGGTAGAGGTTCACACCGCATTACACGGTGCCCGTCTACCCCCAGTGCCCTCAGGAGATTGTTCTGCCAACCCTGCCGGTGCTCCAGGGCACAGCGGTCTCCAGCAAGCATATATGTCAGTTACCGCCCGGCAATGTAGTGGCACTGAGAGGCTCGCGGCCTCTGCGGAGGTCCCCAGAGCAGCTAGTTCGGTTGTCCCCTGCCGGCGTGCAGACGCTTCAAGGCACATCAGAGATCAGTCTCGAGAGACTGATTCCCTTAGTAGATTATTTAGCAGCGTGGAAGCTACTGCCAAATGTATCTCAATGGGTCCTGCGTACTGTAGAAAGAGGCTACAGAATCCAGTTTCGTTTCTCGTCTGCCTCGATTCAACGGGGTCACCCCCACACTAGTGGGTCCCGAGCAGGCTCTGGTATTAGAACAAGAAGTAGTTTATCTCTATCCTTCCTCATCACAGGAAGTTCCTGAGGTTCGTTTTTGGGGGCAAAGCATACCAATATCATGTTCTTCCTTTCGGCCTTGCACTCTCACCCCGTACTTTCACAAAGTGTGTGGATGCTGCCCTGGCTCCGTTGCGACTCCAGGGCATCCGCATATTCAACTACATAGACGATTGGTTGATTTTAGCTCCTGCCAGCGCTTGCTTCATTCCTAGAAGCTGATGCTGGCTCCACCGCACGTGCTTTTATAGCTTCCTGGTCGTGACGTCACCCGCCCCGTGACGTCCCGCTCAGCTATTGGACTGATTTCACATGTGATTCAGAGCGTGGTCACAGAAGGCGTTCCCCTATTGTTTTCCGATGCAGCGTCTCGTTCCCTTGAGGAACCAGGGTTACATACATAACCTGAGACGTTTTATTTGTTGTAAAACCATGGTTAATTTTCATAAGGGAGTGAATTGTTTGTAGGTACATTTTGGAGTTTTACAAAAACGTGGGTAGAGGCACGTTTTACCATTGAGCCTATGTTGGTCAAAACAGTAGTCAAAGAGCTTTCTTTCTTTCTTAATGGACTCTTTCTTGAAACAGTAAACATGGCTTTAATTGCTCCATCAAGGTCTGGGCATCAGACTTCTAGCAAATGCTAGAAAATTTCCAAATGCTTTTAACTGAGATGGTCAAGCTACATTATGTACTTGCTGTTGGATGCATTTCAAAGAAACAAAATAAACAACTCAAAATGTCACTTTCCAAGAGAAAACTAATTAAACAACATTTAGAGGTGATTTAAAGCCTTGCCCAAGCATAAAAGTTGCTGTATTTAAGAGTAAGTAGGGATGGGAGTACATAGATTACAACAATTCACGTACCTGGGAAGAGCTGCTTGGTTGGGGTGCTGAGTTGAGCCCGTTTGTCCACTCGGTAGGCCACATCTGGTTTGGATCCTCTCCGGATGGTGCAGAAGCCTTGTGTTTTCTTCACTCCTTCTGGTGAACTTTTAAAGTCTAAGACCTTGAGCACATCCACGGTTTCAGCTGTGAGGCAGAACGTTGGTTGCTATGATCAAAGGGTTTATCATTTTCATAATTTAATTGGTGAGCAAACATTATTAGCATCAACAGCTTTGCTACATCAAACCAAAACAATATTTGTTCAGTTATTTTCATTTGTACATCTAATTTAACTAAAGGCAATAATTCTGTTATCAAGCAGCTAGATTAGAATTAGGAAAAGTCTACGAGGGAAAAATTAAGCAGCACTATCCAAAGATACCTTTCATTTGTCACGCAGATGAGAACGGTGATTCTGGTGTGAAACTAGTGTTATATGGGGGAAAAAAACTTGTAAAATGGAAATAAATGCTTTCCTTATGAAATGTCCTTTATTATTAGCATCAACAGCTTTGCTACATCAAACCAAAACAATATTTGTTCAGTTATTTTCATTTGTACATCTAATTTAACTAAAGGCAATAATTCTGTTATCAAGCAGCTAGATTAGAAATTAGGAAAAGTCTACGAGGGAAAAATTAAGCAGCACTATCCAAAGATACCTTTCATTTGTCACGCAGATGAGAACGGTGATTCTGGTGTGAAACGTGTTATATGGGGGAAAAAAAACTTGTAAAATGGAAATAAATGCTTTCCTTATGAAATGTCCTTATCTTGCCTTGAATGGTGTGGAGTGAGTATATCTACAGTCAATTATCGTTTAGCAAGTGAGGGCATTTATAGGCCACATCTTGCCATTTGTTGATATGGACATGAACAAACAAAGTCCCATAAAATCCCCTGTTGGTGCCATACGTCATTTGGCAAACAACGCTAACTCTGACTGACGGTTTTACCGTACCTAATTCCCTGCCATCGTATGTGTGCTGTGACCGTCCAATGAAGCAATTGTACTTTTACGAGGAACCCGAGCAGCATAGCAGTAAAGATGTGAAGAAATATCCAGTAGGGATAATTGACCCCCTACATGCAGATCCATCTACAAAACCAAACATTCCAGGAGTTAAAGTCACTGGTGCTGGTCACTGCCCTTCTACAGTTATGGCAGCTCAGCATGACCCAGACTTTACAAAAAGCTCAGTTCCACCAATATGTCAGGTACGTACTTCATCATGTTGCTACTACCAATGTCATATATAAAAGGTTCTGGTTTCGCTCAGCCTGCACACCACAAATGTCTCATTTCTAATGATCCTTAACAAATATATTCTAATGCTTAAGATTTATGATATGATTAATATGGCAATTTAGAGGCTGGTACTGTAAAGTGGACTCCAAGCAGCACTGCAAAGTCACACTGATTTATTGCTCTGCTCGAGTCTTTTAGGCTTCGCCTTTGATTCCGTGAAAAGGAAAAGTTCTGGCCTCACTTGAGACTGATGAATGAGCATGTACACAAGGTCAGGGAGATAAGAGTATCAGCTGGGTTACTTACATCCATCACTATCCAAACACAACTTTGTGTCCTTAAGATGCATCTGTTTGTCATCACCATTGCGAATGTTGTGGTCGAGGATGCCGAGTTGTGTGAAGTCTCTGATTCTCAGGAGGTTTAAGGGAACAGAGGCTGAATGGATGACTAGCACATAAATACTCCTATTCTGACTCCCCCGCTACCAGAGACTACAAAAACTTCTGAGTCAGAGCAAATTGACATATTTGTCTGCTGGTCGGGCAGCAGACAGGAAGTATCTCTTTCAAAGGCCTAAAAACAATAAACCATATAAACAGAATGACTATAGTTGCTAAAGACTCATTACTCTCTCTCTCAGGACTCAAACCAGGGTTTTATTTTCATATGCTTTGACATCACAAAAAGGCTAATTTTCCACCCTGTCCCTCTGAACCAAGGCTGGGAAAGCACTTTCGAAGAATTATACTGAAGTCTTTTGAAAGATCAGCCCTATAACACTGTGCAAAAGGCACCATAAAACCAGCAAAACCTTTATAAAATATGAAGGACGATGAGCTGCATTTGTTAAAAATAGACACTGGGGAAAAGTCACTCAGACGCCTGGTCATCACAGTTACATTTAATTATATTTTAAGGTCAAGAGCAGAAAAAAAAGCTGAGAATTCTTCTCTTGCTACAGTAGTTAATGTAAAAAACTAAATTTGACTTTCTTTTTTTTTTCATTATTTTCTGTAACCATATGGTAAGAACGTACAGGAAGTGCTGATCCGGTAGTTCCCGTTCCACATATGTGGCTAGGAGCTGAAGGGTGGTGCTTTTTTTAGGGTTAGTGCACATGCTGAACACATTATGGTGTCGGCATGGTACAGCCTGCAGATAACTTTGCCTCAACGTACCACCAACCAAGTCCTAATTCACTGAAAGCACAAATTTATTGTTATTCTACTCTGGGACTAAGATAAAGGGACTACGTTTAATTGCTTAGTCCAAATGCTTGGGGTCAGTAAGATTTTATAGTTAAAACAAATAAATACTTTTATTCAGCAAGAATACAATAAATTCAGTAAAAAAAGAATTAAAAAAAACCTTTACAATGTTACAAAGAACATCTATATTTAAAATAAATTATGTTATTTCTATTGATTAAAAAATCCTGAAAAAAGTAACATGGTTTCCACAAAAATATTAAGCAGCACAACTGTTTTTAAGACTAATAATAGTTTATTCTTATTTTTTTGCATGTTAATCACAGGAATAAATTACATTTTAAAATATATATTAAAAAAAACGTTTAAACATATCACAATAATATTGTTTTTATTGTCTTTTTGATCAAATAAATGGTGAGCAAGAATTAAAAAAAATTTCATTTTTTGTATAGTATATAAATAATTCTAAGGATTTTTTTTAATGCTTATTACGAAAAATCTGCAATGTTTGCCTGGAACAGCTCAGTTTTCTTGATAACATTAAAACAGCTGCAAACTATAAAGCCCAGTATGTCTACATCCGTGTGCACGTTTGTGAGCTTAATGATGCAGTGAGGTCTTAATTTAGCTTTGTTAAATCAGTCTGTTGAGAATTTCCATTCAGTTTAACCCTCACTGACAAAACAAAGAGCAGCCCTCTGCATTATCATTCTAAACGAGAGAATAAGAAAAATAGTCTGAATAAAAGGCATCCAAACTCTTAAAGGAGAGGATAATAATCTGTAACTCTTACGAGTCTCTTCCAAAATGCAGTGCTACTGTTTTTTCTTTCTAAACATTAAACTAAAGGTCTCTTTGTGCTTTTCAGTATGCCTCTCAGCATTACTGCATACCTAAAGGACTCATATATTCCAGATGTTGAGAATTGGCAGGAACAGGACCCCGCTCTCACAGAAGCTCTAAAAAAATGTCAGTATCCAAAATCCATTAAAGCAGCAAATAAGCACATTGCTCCTAATACATATCCACAAGTAAGAACCTTGGGCACATTTTTTTCAATGTCAATGTCATCAAATACACAAGAAACGCAATATCAATTGGTCAAGCAAGAACAATCATAACATTCAAACTGATCCAACAAGCAATACAATCCCAGTAGTTGACATTAGTCCTATTCGTACTATGACATAAACAACAACTGCAAAAAAAGGCCCTGGATCCTCATTGACTGAATCTTTGGATATCTGAGCAGGTGTGGTCATTATATCATGTGAACTTTGTGAACTGCTGTAAGAGATATTTTATAGTGTTTTACGTTCAATCTAAAAAACAAGAGCCAAAAGGTAGCTTTTATGCATGGAATTTAGTTGTGGTCAAGATTGGTATTAAACCAAAAATGTGGAAGCACACTTTCAAATATCCCCACCTCCCAATTGGCCTGCAGAAGTGCAATGTGGTGAAGACATTATCAGGCAGCCATTTTGAAAGAGGTATGTTATATATCTGAAATGGCCATCAGAACAGCAAGAAAGGAATATACTCTTTATTGTTTTACTGACTAATTATTATATTTTGTATTTGTTTAAAGCAGGAGAGAGCAGGCTCTTTGAAAGCTTTTATCAGAAAGACAGTACACAAAAACTATTTGCTATTTTTGATTCTCAGGTGAGTCAGAAGGATATGATGCTCTAATGTTGCCCATTATTTAGAGTAGCCTATACAGGAAAACTAAATGTATAAATGACGGATAGGGCCACTTTAAAACACTCAAGTGACCACTTTTAGAAGTAGACAATGTGTTCAAGTCAGAAAGCACTTCTACCGTAGCTTTCTGACAGTAGACCGGTCTTTAGTGTGGACTGGGATAGTGTGGAGAAATGGTCTCTCTCTCTATCTGACCAATAAAATGTCCTAAACTAATTGTGGGCACTGGAGTGCCTCACTGGTGTGTGCAGGGTAGTGCAGTTACCGTGAATGGTGTCAACAGGTCAAATACACAAACCTTTCTGCCATTAATTGAATCACTCTATTTTGGGAGATAGCCTGCTATAAAATGTTTTTTTATACATAAACCTTTGAAGATCAGGGTCACCAGTGATATTGTAACTGGCATTTAAAATATATTTTATAAAAATATAATATTTATATTTATTAAATATAACAATAGTTTATACAACTCCGATGAAGCTACCTGTAACAGCAAACTTTGAAATACTTAAAAATATTTGTCTTGGTAGACTCTTCCAATCTGAATTTCAAACGGAGCATCTTGTATATTAGACTTTAATAAACCTATAAATAATATAGCCTATAGTTTCAAAACCAAACTGGGTGGGCTATGTCTTAGTTATTATAACAGTGCCATTATTAACAGCCAGAACTTACGCCACTTATATCTCTTAGTCAACGGTTTTTCTTATCAAGCAGCATTGTAGGCATTATGATGCCCGAAAATATCATTTAAAATAGTCGTTATTGAGGTTTAGAAATGCCTTTTCGTTCGGAACGCGCCTATGATGGCCATAAATGCTGTCTAGGTAAGCAGCTTAATAAATTTTGAGCCACAGCCAATAAATCTTACAATATATATACACACACGCTGATCTTATTAGCTATATTTTGACACTGAAATTCACTACACATTTTAAGTTCGCTACAACTACAGACTGGCATCCCTGGAAGGCTCGCGACGATGCTCCTCAACCTTTTCCTTACCTGCTCTCACTTGTGTTGCCTGAAGGACAAAAGTCAGACTGAAAATTGCACTAAAAGCGGAGTTCCTGAGCCAGTTTTTCGTTTTCCATCTCGTGGACCACCTTTCCTTATCCTTATCCATGACCGGCGCCCTCAACTGTGTGTTATTTTCAAATTCGTTCCTTTTCCACAATCCAGATTATTGTTTTTTTTTATTTATTTCTGCACTGCCATGAGCGAAAAAAAAAATCAATTGGTTGTCGTCGTGAACAAACTTCTCAGTCCCTCCGCCCAGTATTCTCAGACTGAAGGTAAACGGGCTCTCATGAAAAAAAGAAAAAAAAAGAAAACCGGTTTGTTCCCTGAAGACCTGAAGTTTTTAGGAGGGCTGGACGTGGACTAAACCTGACCCGTGAGGAAAAAGAAATGAATAGGGGAAAATCACCAGTCTTGGAAAGATCCGCCCATTATTTTTCGAGCTTCAAAAGTTTGACACCGTTCCCCCGAAATCTCGAGCAAAGGTGTATCTACTCTGAGGGATCAGACAACACCGGGATGATGGTGATACACCGGTTTACCGGAGGAGAGAGACTCGTATAACTTGGATTATCATCCTGGGTTCAGAATCAGTGATTTAGGACCGGATAAGGATAGGCTATCTCCACAGCACTAGACAGCTTACTTTATTTCGTTACTTTGTACATTTGTAGATCGCCATTTGGATATATATATATTATCAGCATTCTGTGTACCGTCTGTAATTTCCACAGCTGACCTGATGAATGGCATTTTGCTCCACTATATAGATGATTCAATTATTATTATTAGTAGTAGTAGTATTAGTATTAGTATTATTATTTTAAATGGTTACATGAAGAACCTTTCCATTTAATCTTTCCTCTGCATAGTGTAAAGGGGTCATCTTTTTTAAAGATCATTATTTGGTGTATTTGGTGTAACAGAATATGTTGACATGCTTTCATGTTCAAAAAACACATTATTTTTCAAATACTGTACATTATTGTAGGTCCTCTATGCCCCGCCTCTGTAGTAGTAGTAGTATTAGTATTAGTATTATTATTTTAAATGGTTACATGAAGAACCTTTCCATTTAATCTTTCCTCTGCATAGTGTAAAGGGGTCATCTTTTTTAAAGATCATTATTTTGTGTATTTGGTGTAACAGAATATGTTGACATGCTTTCATGTTCAAAAAACACATTATTTGCAACTTCAGGGATCTTATCTATGCACAATCAGCTTGTAACACTTCCAAAGAGAAAGGAAAACTTGAAATCGCATCATATGACCCCTTTAAAGTTGAAAAAGGTTCTTTAGATTATTAATCTTCACACTTCACACAAAAAAAATGTTATTTTAAGAACTTGTTTTGGGAACCCCCCAAAAAATAAATATACAGTGGGTACGGAAAGTTTTCAGACCCCCTTAAATTGTTCACTCTTTGTTATATTGCAGCCATTTGCTAAAATCATTTAAGTACATTTTTTTTCCTCATTAATGTACACACAGCACCCCATATTGACAGAAAAACACAGAATTGTTGACATTTTTGCAGATTTATTAAAAAAGAAAAACTGAAATATCACATGGTCCTAAGTATTCAGACCCTTTGCTGTGACACTCATAGCATTTTTAACAAAAAAAAAAAACAAATAAACAAAAACAGCTTTTGGAGACACTATTTTTGAGTAGAAATGGCTGGAATGACTCTAAACTTAAACAGGTGTGATGGCACTGGCAGGTACTGCAGTCAAACCAGGCAGAATTTTGCTCAGAAAAATTTTCTTTTAAAGAGGCAAATCAAAAGTTAGCCTGAAGTTCCCCAAAAAGCAATGACAGCCAAAAAGAGATACCATCCACAAGAATGAGAACTACAAATGAGACTTCATGGCCAAGTCAGAATTCCTTCCAGAAACATTCTTGAAAGAGTCCACTTATGGAATTGCTGTACCACAGATGTCTGAAAATAATTACTCTCTTAAAGTCATCGGGCAGGTGGCAGCTATATAATCCAGAAGTCAGTTCACAGTATAATGTTTAGATGCATAAATAACAGCATAAAAGCGGTAATTGTCAATGAAATTCAGAACACTTTAACCATTATGCGTTATCCCCTTATTTCAGAGAATGCAGAGGGAAACAATAAAATAACTGAAACAAAGAAACTATTTCACATGTATCTTCTTATCTTCTTCTCATGTATAAAATGAGAAGCTATTCAGTCACAGATGGGACAGATTCAGGGTTCAAGCATTTGTTTCACTTTAAGAAAATATGCTTAGTGGGCAAAATGCCAAATTCTGGCCTAACTGAACAGAACTATTTGAGGAGAAATTTAGCATTACATTACTTGCTCACCAATGGATCCTCTTCAGTGAATGGGTGCGGTGCCATCAGAATGTGAGTTTAAACAACTGATAAAAGCATCACAATAATCACGAAGTAATCCATATGACTCCAGTCCATTGATTAATGTCTTGTGAAGCAAAAAGCTATGTGTTTGTAATACAATACAGTTCTAAACAAATGTGTCTGATTTGAGAGAACAACAGAGTATGATTTTTGTTCACTGGAGGAAGCTTTATTGTGGATTATGGACGTTTCTTACAAACACACAGCTTTTCACTTCACAAGACATTAATTAATGGACTGGAGTATTGTAGATTACTTGTGAATTCCTGTGATGTTTTTAATCAAGTTTTTGGACTCTCATTCTGATGGCACTTATTCAGTGCAGAGGATCAATTGGTGAATAAGTCACGTAATGCTTATTTTCAAACTCATCTGCAAAATTTAATTTCTGAGTTTCATTATTACATTTAATACTTAAAAACCAAGCGCAATCTAATACATGTATCAAGCTTTAAAACATCCCTACTTGTATAAAGTAATGAGAGTGGAAACATGGAAAGATTTTCATGTGTCAGACAGATAAAACTTCCTTATGCAGTCAGCATTTGTTATATTTTCCACAACGTACACAATAGGGGTTTGAGAAACCACAGCCAGAACATTCTGTCTGGTTTTTAGATAGATAATACATCTATCCAAACTTTGTACATTCAACATTTGTAAATGTAATTATGCAAATTCTTAGTGCATCATTTTTTACTTTACTTTTACTTACTCCTTGTTTCTTTTCTTTCACACTTTCCTGAATTTGCACACTCAAACCACAAACATACACTGACTCCTTAGCTGGCACAGACAGAAGAGTTCAAAAAGACGAAATATAAAGACACACAGCACTAAATGTTTTTATAGTTATTTTTTTTCTGTTTAGAACATACAATTTAAAGCAGGATCCATATTTGTATCGCTCATTTATCTATAAACCATATGATTAAGCAATCAGTGCACATACATCCAAGTTATACCATACATAGTATAATTATTTTCAACATTTGTAAATGTAATTATGCAAATTCTTAGTGCATCATTTTTTACTTTGCCTCCTTGTTTCTTTTCTTTCACACTTTCCTGAATTTGCACACTCAAACCACAAACATACACTGACTCCTTAGCTGGCACAGACAGAAGAGTTCAAAAAGACGAAATATAAAGACACACAGCACTAAATGTTTTTATAGTTATTTTTTTTCTGTTTAGAACATACAATTTAAAGCAGGATCCATATTTGTATCGCTCATTTATCTATAAACCATATGATTAAGCAATCAGTGCACATACATCCAAGTTATACCATACATAGTATAATTATTCTATAATTGAGCCATTGTAAGTGAATAACCTTCACTTTTGTTGTTTTTAGACATCCCGAAGCTTTCAATTTGTTTGACTAGTTTAACTTAGTTCAAATTTAACTTAAAAGAAGTACTCTCTCACGCCAGACGTTTTAGATGTTTGCTCTTAAAAAGCAGCTGAAATGAATCTACACTGTATGTTGATCGACCAGAAGTTTTGAGCCATGACTCCTGCTCCTACTCTGATCTTGGTCTGCTTTGCTGCTCCTGGCCTTTTGATTTTGGTCAGATCTTGACTTTAAAGTTTCTTGTTCTAGGTCATTGCTTACATCTTGGTTTTTGAGGTTTTGTCTCAACTTCTGTCTTGGCCTGACAAAAGACTGCCATTTCATCCTATGCTGGATGGTGGTGTTATGGCATTCTGCTGGTTGAGAGAGATCAACAGGGTTAATACAATCAGATTTACCGTTATCTGACATTAGCTGAAACTGTTGCTGTGAGGGTAGGCTGAACTTACAGTAAAAGTGAGTGGTAGGTTATAGAAGATTGACCTAACCACAAGACTCTGGAATGTGTTCCAGTCTGAGCATGAATTTCACTGCTGAAGAATAACCAGCTGCTTAATACAATCTCTTTATTTATTTATGTATGTATTTTAAAGTGGTCAAATTTAATTGGTTGTGCTATTGCAGCAAAGTCCAAGCAAGTAGTATGTTCACTCTATATGAACTCATATTTTTCCATTTTAACATAATTCATTGTATTGGAACAGTATTTTAATTAATGCAAAGTTTTTCACTATTGAAATGTGACAATACATACATGAATGTGTAAAAATAAGTGATGACCACATGCATAGTTAAAAGGATGTCATGACATGCACTTTAAAGCTTTTAACAAATCAGTTAAGCGAATGAATCAAGACATCATAACACTCAAAAATAACTTTTATCTTGTCTCCTACTTGTTCAGTGATGTAACCTACAGAAAAGATCTCTGAACGAATAATTTTAGCATACTGATTAAAAAGATTTGAGTCACGGGATGAATCTATATACCCACCACAAGTACAAACTGAATCTTATACTCACAACAGATGCTTATCAACTGATTACAATCCATGGTGTAACACACTGAGTGTAACACAGTGTTACTCCATGGTAACACACTGATTTAATATTTATGAGCACACGTGAAACATGCAGTAGTAAAATGTAAGAAAAACAGTAAGAATGAAAGACATTACACAGATTTTATAGAAGCCAATTATAAGGCTTAAAAAGGCTTCAAATCTTTTATTGCTTTGGGTTTTACCTTTTTCCACTTCATGTGGTTAAATTATTTAAAATTGTCACATTGCTGTATATTTTTAGAAACCAATAGTTTTAATCAGTGAATCTATTAAATGGAGATAAAAAGAAAATACTGTTCATTGCTACACTGTAGTATGTTGTGTCAGATGTGTAAGAAACTAATATACCATAAAAGTTGCTCTTAAAGAACAAAATGCTATGGGAATGTAATAGTTTTGTATTTTCACCGTAATCCCACAAGGAAGTAATTGTCCTAAAAGAGTGTCTACATGTTCTTCATTAGTAGGGTTTTCACTGAGGTTTAATCTAGT